ATAGAACAGTAAATAAAGAAGTATAGCAAAAAATTATCTCTTCTAGTTACAACCTTTTTACTCAGTTGCTGCTTGATGTAGGTTGCTAAGCCTTTTAAAATTTCACACATGGAGGATATGAAACTAAATTTTTGTAGGTTTTATTTATAAGGTTGAATAACCAAAAAATCATAAATTACTACATCGATACTATAAAATTCCACTATAATATATCAAGCTTAGTAACTAAGCTGTATGTTGGTCTAAAAAAAATTTGAAATTTTGAGCAGACTAAACACACAACCTACCTCCTTGAAATCTTGGTTCAAAAGAAAGAGATGGCATCTTAACACATGAAAATGGCAAAGAAAGCCACTAGGGGACATTGAGCTTTTGATGGTTATTCACATGTCATATATTAAAGTAAGTGTATATAAGGGACTAAGCTGTATTTGGGTCTAAAAAAATATTAAATTTTGAGCAGACTAAACACACAACCTACGTCCTTGATATCTTGGTTCGAAAGAAAGAGATGGCATCCTTGAAAATGGCAAAGAAAGCCACTAGGAGGACATTTTGAGCTTTCGCTTGGTTATTCACATGTCATATATTGAAGTAAGCGTATATGATGGACTGTTTCCAAAACTGGAAAGAGGTGAATGGGGCCACTGTGTTTGGTTCCTTACATGAGTGATATATCATCAAAGAGAAAAGATAGGAGGTTCTTATTTTATATTCTGGCTTTATAAACTTAGTATTTTGCCATCACAAACATCTAATTCAAACCAGTGCTGTATTCAACATACTATGCGACACAAAAATTGATGCTTAACTGTGTTTTTTAATATTTACTTTTAAATTAAGAAATTAAATAATGTATAATACTAAAATTTGAATTATAATCTACAGTTTGATACCAAACTTATTGACATAAATTCATGAAATAGTTCAATAAAATTTTGAATATGAGTCAACAAATGCGATGACATGGACTTTGACCCATGACCTGTCTGGAGAGGGTTAATGTATATTAATTTCAACCTCTTAAAAAAACAAAAACTTTTAATCAAAATCCAAACATCTTTACAAACCAAAACAAACAGGTTTCAAGCATTAAGGTATTCACTTCAGCAATGTAAACCTAATTCCTTTTTACTTGCGCACTTTTCAAAAACATAACTTAAAAAAAAATACATCTCTTAGTGAATCATAAAATATCAATTGCAAAAAAAGATGTAAAGCTATAACACACCAATGATGTTGATAGTTCTGCATCATTCCCTTTTTCAACATGTTCAAATTCTTCATATCCTGCTTGTTTTTCATTTTGTAGATCTTCTGACACAGATTTGTGCATTTTTGGTTTTTTAAAAAGTTCAACTGGAAAAACCACAAAGAAAATAAAAAACTCTTTAGAAAATGTAACAGATATTTAAAAATGATCTTCAGTTTTAATATTCCAATAAAACTTTTGTATAGAGAAACTGAATGTATTTTAATATTAAAATTTTCTCATATAAAAATTACTTTGAACATTGGCAGGGCCTATTACAAACTAAAAAAAGTTATAACAAGGGAAAACTTCTGGAAAGATGCATAGCACAATATTAATGAGTACAAACAAGCTTCACTAACAGAAATGAGACATTTTTTCTTTCAATATATTTAGTTCACTAACTGTGTAGGTCACATAAATGCCCTATCAATTTTGGGGGCCAAAATCAAAGACATTCAAAGAGTGTGTTTATGTTTTTACCCTAGAAATTACAGAAACTACAATTAAGTGTACAATTGGATACAGAAATATATTTCTTTCTCCTTCATTTAGTTATTTGCATAAATGAAACATGTCTCAATGTCCTGTTATATTTTTCTGAATATTCACGTGAAAATGAGTGTTGATATAATGAAACTAAAATCACAAAGTTGAATTTTTATATCAATTGGATAAACAGCAGCTGCTTCTAAAATCTATGTTAAATGCTATATCAAGAAACAAATAACCATTTAAACAGCAATATGACAAAAATGCAGCACTTCAAGTGCTATAAAGAAACAACAAATAACCATTTAAACAGCAATATGACAACAATGCAGCACCTTCAAGTGCTATAAAGAAACAACAAATAGCCATTTAAACAGCAATATGACAACAATGCAGCACCTATGACAAAAATGCAATTCCTACAAACACTATCTAAAGAAGCAACAGACACTGAAACAGTAATATGACAATCATACAACACCTACAAGTGCTATATCAAGAAACACAAAACAGCCATATAAACAGTAACATGACAACAATGCAATACCTGCAAGTGCTATATCAAATAAACCTCCAATTAAACAGCAATACGACAATGATGCAATACCTGCAAGCACTATGTGAAGAAATACAAACAGCAATATAACAATGATGCAATACCTGTAAGCACTATGTGAAGAAATACAAACAGCAATATGACAATTACACAATACCTACAAGTGCTATATCAAGAAACAGCACACAGCCATATAAACAGCAATATGACTACGATGCAACACATATAAATACAATAAAAAAGAAATGATAGCCATTTAAATAGAAAAAGGCTATTTTTTTAAACTTGCCATTAAATAGTATCAATTTCAAGCTGAATTTGGCAAGAATATGAGTAATAAAGTTTGTCATTATTGCCTGAGCTGTCACTGATCTTGTTTATTAATACACAACTTCCCACTCATCAAAAAATTTAACTCTGGTACAAGCAGGAAGTAAAAATTAGATTCAAATTAAACCTCTCGCACCTGGTTGTGTGCTGTCTTGAATTTTAATTGCCACATATAAAAGCTGAAGAACACTCAGAAGATGAATAAATGTGCCTAATATTAACAAATTATATACCCAAATATCAAAAACTAACACAATTAATAATTCAAAATTGTTATACAACACCTATGTATAAAGCAATGAAACGTACTAAATATGTACTAATTTTTTACAAAAAATTCAATGCTATAATTTTGATTTCATTCCTTTAAGTTACACACTGAATCTTCTTTTGGTGGCACCTTTTTACCCACCTAAGGTGTTTTTGATTAGTTAAGCTTGTACCTATAACAAACTACTTTTTTATCTGTACTTACTAAAGTAATAGCAGAGATAATTTTTGTGTAAAAGACAAACCACTGAAAACATTTTATTACTATTATTTGATATTACTACTCAGACAGCTTTAATTAATTAGGCTGTATGTAAGTATGTGTGTTTATATAGATCCCAATTAATTAAATTAGAGTGTATATATGTATATCTATTAACCAACTTTTATGGTTTCCACATGTGCAGTAACACATACGTCTACATGTGGTAGCTACACTGTCACTAACTCAGTGAACTTGGAAAGACTGCTCTACTAAAGTTATATATACAAACACATACACATATATATTACATACTGAACAACAGAAAGTTATATAGTAGCTGAAATATCCTATAATTGCCTCCCAATTCCAGCAGGTCTTACCACACTCACTCAAGTGTTGTTTGTATTGCTTGTGTAGAGACCAAAATGAATAACAAATTTTCTTGTGCTTATTTCTAATTTTGAAAATATTTCTCTTGCTTTATTCAATCACAATATTAAAAATCATAATATCTTTTATAAAACAAAACATCAACGTTGTCACTTCCATTTAAGCTGTAATTTTGTTAGGCTTAACACAAAATCTCAAGCCAAAATTCATCCTTACCACACTATCAGTGATGTAGAGGATTTTCAATAAATGCAAAATAATGAACTTGGAAATGTTGAGTGTAATAAAAAATGTATTATGCTCAATATGAAGTGAAATATTGGGACTTCTATAATTTAGCATAACAAGAAAAGTTAAATGGAAAGAAAAGAGCTAGAAGATGAATATATATTTACACTTCCTACTCTGTGGCATTTAGAATGACAATTTCCTTCACAATGAAATAAATTACAAAAGAAAAAATACATATACTGCTCAAACATCACTGCCATATTAAAGACACTTAAGAAACAAGCTGCATACTAATAAATACATGCATTTTAAATTGTTTTTCTCATTAATAAACAACTGAAATATCATTAAAAACAGCTTTATCAATGAAATTTCAATGCTAAAGTGAAATAAGCTAGTATCTTAAAGGTTAATTATTTTAATTGACTGTATTAATATGCAAGATCATCCACTACAATAAACTATTGCTTTCACCTTACCATCAAAAATCTATTTCCAGAAATATCAACACATGTTAGCTTACACATGTGCAGTACCATATGGGAATCATCAGCATTGGTGCAAAAACATACAATCCTGTACTATTAATAATAACTCAGTCACATTCTACTTAACTTACACATATATATTTATATAGTAATTCTGGACATATTACAAATACTTACCTTTTCTTATGGAAACGTATTATATATAATATGGAAGCTACAGACTACTGTTATAGTAATGAACGTAAAGAAACAGGAAATAACACTGACCCTTTACAAAGAAAAATGTGTTTAAAATGGATTCTTTTCTCAAAAGCATGAATGGAATGTTACACCACATATCAACACTTACTTTGTATGGAGAAGGTCTTATCCGTTCCCCAAACACCACTTGTCCCAAGTTTTCCACTGGAGAATCATCAATAGGTGCCACACAAAAGTCAAAACTTACAGTAAGGGAGAAGAAAAAATGGTATCAATGAAAAAAAGAGCTCCCCATTCTTTTATAATATCAAATGTTGACCAGTTTTGTGTGTTATATTTCTGTAGCCTCACTTTACATGATTAATGTTATTAAATGTCTATTATATGGCTTTTTAATATTCTTCAGTGCATTATAGAACATGTAACAAGAGTAAAACAATGCCATATACATGAACATACTTCTTAAAGAACCCAAATTCACCTCTTACATACATAGAACTATTTTGTTTTATCTCATTATGTTCACATAGGTTTCTTGACCTTTGACTTCTGTATTTTAATATCTCCTCAACTGCTTAGATATTTTGATACATAACCAAGTTCTGTATGCAAATTATTTTTTGGTTTTATTGAAAACTAATTTGAACACTTAAAACTGTGGATTTGGCATTATGGTAAAATATGAAATTCTACTATTTGTCACTTTTTTTTAGTAGATTCCTTTTTTCCCCCAAAAATAATACTGTAAAATGCCAAAATATTCACACAGAATCAATTTACATGAAATCCTCTCATACTTAGTGCTAAAATTACCTTTTATAATAATCTTATTTGCATATGCAATATTTTTTTGGGGCACACAATAGCTACTTTTCTTGACAAAATGTAAATGTCCACCATTGTGTTTCTTTAGACCCCATTGACCAGAAACTGATGTAGAAAATTTCATTTTTTCTATGTATTTCAACACTAACTTGGATACTAACTTCTAATTACAGATCTTGCCAGTCCTCCTTTCATAATAATTTATTCTCCCATTATATACATATATGCTTAGCCTAATTGCATCACACACACACTTAAACCATGTATTTATGTCCTCTATACTCACTGATGATATTCATAGGGTATGACCGATTCATCAGAATCAAGTCGATTTACAAAGAGCTCCACTTCAGACTGAAAAATAATTATATACACATGTACTAACATTAATTTCATGTACTAAATCTAGATAAAAATAAATAATAGCAATAACAAATAATTTGTTTTAAAATAGATAAATAATATTGTACTTTTAATCATTACCCTAATTCGATTTCTGAATGAATAATATAAAATTGATAAAAATTACACCTCATCAACTTCACCTAGTTTATACCACCTCATCAACTTAACCTCGTTCATACCACAACAATTGTTCTTTATACAATTTGATAAATAATTTCTAAACCATTTCTGTGTCTGTCTTATCCCAGTTGGCCTTATAAGCACTGGTATTGGATGAAAGGTCTCATCAGCACTGGATACAGCAAATACAGCATGGTTGACATATTGTTACACATTCTTTATTTTCACTCACAAGTTCTTGGAATAAGTACCAAAATTGAAAATGTTTTAATGTAATCAGTTTAGTTGTACTTCAAAACATGTATTCAATGTTTTAACAACAACATTCACACTTTAAAATCATACATGTATCTTAAAGTATAAACATAACTGATCAGTAAATAGACAAGCCATTGGTAAGATAGTAAAAGAAAAACTGTAATATTTTTTAAAATGTGAAGTTACAAATCACAAAACAATGAAAACACAAATTCATTCAGAGATGACCTAAGTATAGGTCAGGGTATCTTACTTAGTAGAGAAGTCATCATATTGCAATCTATTGGGTAGATCTGGGCAGTTAACTAAATTAATTCATGTATTTGATTATATTTCAGCATCTAATACAGAGGTCAGTATCACGAGGATATCTGTGATGGAGAGGTGGTCAAACAAGGACTAGTTAAGATCACTGAAATTGTTTTTCTTGACAAAAAAAGAATTAAAAGGGATTTCACCAAGGTTTCAAGATTGCTAAGGTAATCAACTATATTGATACATTATTTTTTCTATTTCATAGAGAGAATGGTACAACAAGGTATGGTAGGAGTCATATTCAGTTTAAATTGTTTTACTTTACTAGAAGGGTGGTTGGCCTTTGGAGTGAATTGCCTTCATATGTGATGGACGTAGTAGGTTTAAGGGAAGGCTTGATGAATATTTAAATGATCATGGCTGGATTTTTTTGTTTTCTTTATTTTTAAGAGGATGGGACAGTCTTGATGGACCAACCGGTCTCTTGTTGTCCTCAACTGTTATGATTTATATATACATGTATTTAAGTTAGCCTAGCAGAGCAAAGAAGCTCTACTACATAAAACAAAAGTCTGAGGCAAAAAGTACAAGTAAAACTGTATATTCAGCCAGATTATTGAAATTAATCTAAATCACATAATGTTAGGGACAATAAAGGGCCATTTGGTACTCCAAGGTCATCCCCATAAAATAACTTTTCCATAATCAGAATAGCAGTCTTCCATAATGTGGTGAAACATAAAGGAAAGAGTATATTATCCTTTCTTCAATGAGATGATATCAGATAACTTGAAATAACGTAAGGTTATATACAGTTTAGAGATGGGTTGAATGGGTAACAAAACTTTATTAAAAGATTACCATGGTAACAAATGTATAACATTTGGAAAAGTTTTTGTTGTCATAAGGAAAGTAGTTTACCTAGATATAGGAATATATAAATATGTACATGTGTGTGTGTGTGTGTGTGTGTGTGTGTGTGTGTGCATGCAGAGAGAGAGTATGAAACAAGTCACATGACTGGAGATTACTTAAAGGTTAGTTAAGGTTTCTTGTTGACATAATGGTTCATTGTTGAAATTTGTTTTCCTTTTTAACTCTCTGTATACATGATTGGTCACTGTTACCAGCTTTTTAGCCACCATGTAACCATAAAACAATACATATTATAAATGAATATACTAAGTGCATCTTTACAAAATTTGACAAGTTTTTAGTCTTTTGTACACACAATCAATTTGTTTTTTAAATAAAAAGAAAAAAGATGAATATAATCTTTAACAATAGAATTAAACCGACTACTATTGAGAAAGAAGTTGTTCACAGAGTAGAATGTACGGACTGTAATAATATATATATAGAAACCTAAGTACTAGAATACCAGAATATGGACATGTTCCATCATGTTTACCAACATTTTAATGAAAATAAAACTGTTAGAATTATTTGTAGAGAACCTAATATTAATAAACATAAAATAAAAGAAACCATTTTAATAAAGGCGTACAAATCTTTAATAAATAAAACATAAGGAGTAGGTTTATACTTACGCTAGGTCAAGGTTATGTGGTTGATGTCACCAGTTGGATGTACTTAAGTGTCGTGTACAATTGTACTGAGTACCTGATGATACCACTTTAACAGTGGCGAAATGTTGTTTTTTTTAAAGTGAAGCATTTTTTCTCTCCCATTGCTGTTTTCGAAATTTAAAGTTTGTAGAGTGTGGTATATCTCCAACATTTATAATTACAATTATTATTTATCCTAACAGCCTCAACTTTCTAACCTTTTCACAACTAATCAAGATAAGTAGAACTTCGTGCTATCTACAAATGTTGTAAAGATTAACAGCTTTATAAGCAGTTGTCATTGGGTATAACAGTGAAAGTGTTATCCACACAGCGTGTGCAGAAATATGGTTTTAGTAGTATTTGATTGATTAATTTGTTTCCAAAGTCATCCAAGTTGAGGTAATCATCTTCATATTTTTGTAAATTTGGTTTGTTCTATGTTACTTAATTTGTGCTTATAAAGCTGTTAATCTTTACAACTTTTCACAGCTGTTTGCTTTTAATTTTATTACTTTACAATGCCTTTCAGCCTCAAACTAAGTAGGTGACAGGCAATTAACCAAAGTGTGAGAACTTACTGTGAGCAACAGATGAACTTAAAATCATGTGAAGCAGTTAGCTCATGAAAAATATATATATATGTTTTTAAGCCTGTAGGCAGATTATGGTGTTTTTTCAGGTATAAAGATTGTATATAAATCTTCCTAACTTCCAACATGGTATATGATTTTAACATTCCTAAATGTTTGTTAGGTTATATTGGTTCCACCATTAGGTGGTAAACTCTTCACGTACACGACAATGTAAATTTAAGACACATATTATTTTCAAGTATTAACAGATACGTGCTGTAAAATGAGATGAGCCTATGTGTAAAGAACAAGTTAAAGGCCAGTAGTGAACAAGAACTGCAAATAAGTGAAAGTTTATAAATTGACTCAAATGAAGTCAGGTTTAAATTTCAACAGTGGTTTAACAGTTTGGTTTGTTTCATTTATTAGATACTAGTTAATTAGTAAAACTGAGATGTCCTATCTTTAACACTGTAATATTTATCATTCAAACAATTTTTGTAATTCTACACAAGAGTATATGACATGCAATCTTGTGATGCCCATAGTTTGTGTGCAAATTAACTTGAAATTTACTAATTTATCACACCTTTGATTAGAGATTATTTATTTTACCATTCCTTACAATAATGAGTTGACACAAACCATTTCTTCTGCTATAGCTATTAGAAGTTTCACACTGTATTTCAGTCAAACACCATACTTGTGATGCGTCAGATATTACTGTTAATGTTGAAACTGAAGATGTGCCATTCACTCTCGCAAAACCTAAGAGTCATTGCTATTGGAATATTGTGATTTAAAGCGTGAATATTAAATAAGTATTACAAGTTATATACAGTGTACAATCAGGGTGAATAAAGCAAATTACATCACTAGCAGACAGACAAGCTTTGGATTAATCATTAAGTGACAAGAAAGATAAATTAACATTTATATTCTCAGAGCTAATCTAATTTTACTTTTGGCAAGATTCGAATAAAATAAGCATAATAATATGCAATAACAAAACAATACTGAATAAATTTCTGTAAAATACAAAATATGGCCTAAAATAATTATAAAGGAGGTCACTTTCGTTTATTGGGAATTAGATTTTAACCGTCTGAACAATTATTAATAACTGAAATGATGGATATTTGTACGATTAACAATAAATTTAATAACATCATATGTATCGCTATAAGGAAGTTAATGAGTAGGTTACCGAATAGTATTTATTTATTTATCTATTATTAACATTAACAATACGCAAGAGTCACATACATAGCACCATCTCAACTTACCTTGCAAGTTTCTGTTGTTTTACCTTCCTCGCAGTAATTAACAGGAGCTAAGCCTGGCAAGTAAAATGAGCGAGATGTTCTTAAAAATGTAAAAATGCAGGTGAACAACAAATTGCGTTGATACATCTTGATGGAATCTAAAATTTAAAGAAAACACCAAACCTCCGTGTGCTTATAGTATACTATAACCAAATCAGATCCTCGGAAAACTATCAGACTATATGACAACAAGCATAATCTCATTGGCTTAATTCCGGTTATCCCTTGTCATCCTCTCCCAAGGATGGAAAGAAAACGGGATCCCGCCCTAATTCAATAACAGCGAAACATATAATTGTGGATTGTCACAACAATAAAAAAGCGTTTGCTCTTGCCGCTAATTTAAGCAAACGTATCCTGTGATAATTACTTAGATTATTGGGCTTACTGTTTTGTAATTTTTATTCACTTTTTACACCTCAAGTTTATAGTGGGTATAAATTTTTTTAAATAATTTCTCAGTAACATAAAATAGTTTGAGCACACAGACGTCCAATTCACGCTTAAAGGTAGTAAGATAATTAGCTAGAATTAATGAGTATGCATAGAGAAAAACAGATTAATTTTGATATTAGCATCGGTATGTTGGTTTTTCGCCAGATTATCTATGTGCCATATCAGCTTTTATTATTGATGAGGCTTCTGTAGTTACATTATCCACGTCATCATTGCCACCACTAAACTGGAATGAGCATTGACTCTAACTGAGTCTGTCACGTGAAGTTACCGGAAATTATAAAGTGGCCATCTTGTAAGTTTTTTGTAGTACTTTCACTTTTAGTTGCTGCGAGCGTACAACTCATTATAAAAGTTTTAAGTTGTAACCGGTATGTAATGTAACAATGTAAATTTGTGTTGCGTTCAGTTGTAAAAGTAGACCAAAATCTGGTTATGTGTCGTTTCACTGGTAAGTTCAGTCCTTACCCCCCGTAAATAAATTAACAGGTAATGAGGTATTGCTTTGCCACTGTGGGAATGTTATTAAACCGAAATTAAAAATCTGAGTTTAAAAAGTCAAGATTTTTCGTTTCGTTTTAATTCCTATTCCATGGTATTTGTAAACACAACCGATTTTATGCATTTCAAAATTTCATACAACTTTTCATGTAGAGAACTCTGTTGAAAAAATGTATATATATATTCAGAGAAACACGTGGAATCCAACAGATCTTAAACAAAGGTAAACCGTAAAGTTTTAAGCTAAAATTAAAAGCTTCGAGATTGTGCTCTGAGTTTGAACATTTCGAAGGAAAAATGTTTTGATTGAACAGGTCGAAATGTTCGTCTGACAGAATACTTTGCTCACTGTATTTTAATATACTGAGCACCTACGAAAGATATATTGCCATTATGACTTTGGAATATGCTGTTTTAATTATTCAAATAATGACTTTAGAATGTTGACAATCAGATTAAGTGTTTATTCTGAATAAACTTCCTTTGATGTCCAGCTGTCTAGTTCTGTTTGAATTAGTTATTACATAAACATTTTTAATTCTTAAATTCTCTTACTAAATAAAGTTTGTTAAAACTAAATAATCGGATGTTGGTGTACTTTGGTGACAGATTTTCTTGTAGGCAGATTTTGTTAAACAAGACCGATGTCTGTAGGTTTACTTTCTTCTTAGAATTCTTCTCAAGACGGCTTATCGACTTCTTGAGAAAAATTCTAAGAAGAAAGTAAACCTACAGACATCGGTCCTGTTTAACAAAATCTGCCTAAAACTAAATAAGTAAATGAAATTATTGCACATAGACCTACAGTACTTTAAAAATTAATTAATAGAAAATTGTTAGTGTATTTGAAATTAAATACTGATAATATTAATCATCTATTCTATTGGTACCATAACATTTCTGTGAAATCAGTGAGAATATATTTGAAATTTATGAAGTAGTAATGATACCAGTGATGTATGGGAGTCCTTACCACTTACTAGCTGCTGGGGTGGTGATCCATGGAGACCTGTTTTCCTGAGTGATGAACAATACCACTCAGTTGAGAGTAGGGCAGTGGCATTCTGCAGATCTTGCTGGTGTTTTGTACTTCCTACCACAAATCTGATATACAATTTCAGATGCTGCCAGGTTTTGGTTGAAGCACTCCACCATGTAACGAAAATATATATTTTTTGCAGTTTGCCCCCTCAGGTTGAGACATTCCTCCTCCCTTCCATCCTCTGGATGTACATTCCTGCTGGGACTGGTGTTGGTTGGATATGATCCAGGTAAATAAGTCTTCATGTGTGCTGGTCAGGATCCCTCCTCCTATCGTGGACTGGATGACAAATGCCTACTGCCACCTGGTTTTGTACTGGAGATGCATCCCAGGTTTCCCTCTTCCTACCATCTGCTGGATGTAATTTTCCAGAGGATCTGCTGTTGCTTGTAGCTGTATGCAGCACATATTCCTGCTTGTTTACAGCCAGATATTGTCCTCCTACCATGAGCTGGAAGTACCATACCCGTTGCCATCAGGTTTTGGACTGGAGTTGTCATCTTGTTGGGAGTTTCCACCATCCTACCATGGGCTGGAAGTACTATACCCATTGCCATCAGGTTTTGGACTGGGGATGTCATCTTGTTGGGAGTTTCCACCTTCCTACCATGGGCTGGAAGTACTATACCCATTGCCATCAGGTTTTGGACTGGAGTTGTCATCTTGTTGGGAGTTTCCACCATCCTACCATGGGCTGGAAGTACTATACCCATTGCCATCAGGTTTTGGACTGGAGTTGTCATCCTGTCGGGGCTTTCCACCTTCCTACCATCTGCTGCTGGATAGTGATTCCTGGTGGATCTGGTGTTGGAAATGTGTGCAAGTGGAGATGGATTTTGGTACAAGAGTTCATCTTTCCTATCAATTCCCATTTTGAGGGGAAGAGATAGGTGATCTTCTACCTGCCGTGGATCTGATGTACCATTTCAGGTACCACCTAGTGTTGGATGAGGTAGAACTACCACTACAATCTTTCGTGCCCTAGCCACTCAACACCCAGGAATCCCATTCTTCGGTCGTACATATTCTGAGATTCCTTTATGTTTTTATGCCTTTTATGTTTGCAACACTATCATAAAAGAGTGATAAATAAAGCTGGATCAGATGTGGTGCAGTCCCCTGCTGATGTGTGATGTTTTCTCTTTTGGTTCCACACCTCCTGATCTCTCTTTGGGGCACTTCCTAAAGGTGGATATTTTTTTATCAGCCCTCTATCAGTTCAATTTGGGATTCTAGCTATTTTATGAATGGAGGTAAGGTATCATATTGGAAGTTAACATTTTCCTACATTGAAAATGTAATTCCAATAGATGCTGACATCCCCCCCCCCTCCGACCAATCTCAAAGTGATTAACGAGGAAAGATGTGAAGAGTATGACAGGAGTGGTGTTGCTCTCCTATTGGTGGAGAGCTGCCACTTGATCATTTGCATGTGGATATGCAGGACATGGAAGGCTAATGGCATGCATTGAAAATTTGCACTGATAGAGGGCAGTGCTAGTTAGGTAAGTATCTATCTGAAATACATTTTCAGTGCAGGAAAATGCTAACTTTTCTTCTTGAGTGGTACTATAGTAATTCTTTAGAAATTAATAGTTACTAAGAAATCTGATAATGTTTATAATAGTTAAGCAATAAAGTAAACTGTCCATGTAATGAAGTACATATTAAAAAAGGGAAAAATACTTGTGGCAATAGTAAATTAAATTCAGTTGTATGTTGTCATTTATATACAGTGTGCCAAAATGAGAACATCAGTTCAAGTGGATCTAATAATGTTGCTCCAAATCCAGTTACCTAAAGTACACCATCTTCACAGAGCAATGCTAAAGGCCACATATTTCTAGATCATACCTACCACATGAGTGATAGTCCTGCAACCATAAAAAGAAGAATGGCTAAAACAGTTGATCATTTAATCACAACACAACTAGGAAAAAACTTAGGTGTTGAAGACTAACTTTTGTTTTACTAAAGGTGATTGTGCAAGCTCTTAAAAGTGAATGTTTAATATCAACCACTAGTTTTGATAGCTGAACAGCATATTTTATGATATCCCCTTTAGAGATCTTTAACAGGATAAAAAAATACTTTCAAAGCATATCTTCTACTTTTGTTTTAACACTGCAGTTTCACTCCACTAAAACCTATGATTATGTAAGATGTATTTTCAATCTTACTCTACCATATTTACCTGTGATTTGTAAATGGTATCAAACCATTAATGAGGTTCTAGGCTTTACAAAAGAAACATTTAACACATTACAACAAATGATAAGTGGGAAGAGAATGAACCAGTAAAGATATTTGTGCTTTAAGGCTAGATGAAATGGCCATAAAAAATATATGGAGTGGGATAGAAAGAAATGTTTTTGGCTATTTTGATGTAGAAGGTGGTAAAGAGGATAAAGCTCCTCTTACCAGTGATGTATTGGTGTTTATGCTGTTTCTTTTAACAGCAACTGGACGGTACCTGTTGGGTATGACAGGACAAGAACGAGCAAACTTGGTGAAAATATGCATACAAAAAACATTAGATGTTGAGATCACAACCATGGCATTTGCTTGTGATGGTCCAAGTTGCCACTTCACCATATTGAAAGAACTCTGCCAGTGTGTCATTAGAAAACATATAGCTGATTTTTCCATTCTAACAATGAAAAATGCAGAATTTATGTGGTACTTGATATATACCACGTGTTAAAGGTCATTTGAAACACTTTTGCAAATGAGAAAATTTTAAAAAGTGGAGATTGTGAATATGGCAGTTTATTACTGATTTGCTGTGGTAAGTTTGGAGGCTTATAATGCTAAAAACTGAGTTTCAATACCCATGATGGACACAGTACAGATAGCCCATTCTGTAGTTTTGTACTTAACAACAAAAACAAGTACAAACTTATAAGTTCAAGTGTGACAGTTGCATGAAAAATTTAAACTTACCTAAATATAAGGAAAGAGTCTACAATTAAGTTTATAACATTTTATGAGTGCTTTGATTTGCTCAATTCCATAAATCCATTGGCTAAACATTACAAGAGTCCAATGAAAAGTTGCACAGAGTCATTTTGGAAACCTTTTCTAGTAGGAATAAAAATTATACTTGTTAGTTAACAGACATCACCAGGCAAAGAATATGCAACTCGACATAAAACATCATTTATTGAAAACAAAAGCAACACGTGACATGTTTATATGAACCATTCGCAATTTACACATTC